GATTGTCTATTTCAGATGAACGTTTGTTGGTCTACTCATTGTTTTGATGACGTCCTCATTTCAAATTGCATTATTATGAATGAAATCTCTTCCATTGTCAGAACATTTTATGGTAACATGTAACATGAGGAAAAATAAATGAAACACATACACAGAAGAATGCGTTCTTTTTGAAAGTATTATCAAAATCCGGTATTTCCATTAAAAAACTAATGATGTTTGTCATGACTCGAACTGTGATGACGTTATCAAGAATATGAGTAGACAATGAATTCGCAACTGAGAAAAAGAAATCAACTTGTCTGAGCTTTTTTTTCCACTGGCCATATCAATAGGCTTTCAATGAATTTATCTCAATCTTCAAGTGCTCACTGTACACTGTATGAAATGGTAGTTGGTCTGACTGGTATTGCTAGTGAAGGGATGATAGCAGAGATTTCCTGAGCACATTTTCCGTAGAAGTAGCGATAGAAAAGTGAAAGGTCGACGACCTTTCTACGGTGTTCCAATGATGTCAAAGAGTGAGTGAGTGTGGCGTCACCCACCAGGCAGATGGCTCTTCTCTGGATGTAATCTAAGAGCATCAGCGTATGTTTTGGTGCTGAACCCCATATGTGGGAACAGTATTCTAGAACAGGGCGTATCTGCGCTTTGTAGATCATGAGAAGCTGTTGAGGTGTGAAGTAGCTTCTCGCACGGAACAAGAATCCGAGTTTTTGTGAAGCAGCTTTCGCGATGGATCTGACATGATTATCCCATGAAAGAGTGTTGCTGATGGAGATATCGAGCATAGATATGGTGGGCTTGGTGGAGATGATGGTGCCAGACATAACAATGTCGGGCATACTGAATTCCGCCTTTCTAGGGAAAATACAGGCTTGAGTTTTGGTGGCGTTGAATTCAACTAGGTTGTTGGTTGCCCAGGCTGTGATTTCAGCAAGGTCTTCATTGACAGCATTGACCTGCCTGCGCCTTGAGTTCATAGTTTCCTGGGAAGAAATGGGAATTCTGAAAGAGAACGCAGTATGGAGGGTACTATCATCTGCAAAGCTGTGGATGAGGCAATTTGTCACTCCCCAACAGATCATTGATATGAAGAAGGAATAATGTTGGTGCCAAAAATTGATCCCTGTGTAACGCCGGAATTGATGCTTATGGTATCAGACGATACACCGTCCACCACCACATGAAGCGATCTGCCTGAAAGAAAACTCGATAAGAGATTGCATAGCTGAGGTGATAAGCATAGTATGATGGTAGTTTGTGGAGGAGTCCTTCGTGCCAAACACGGTCAAATGCTTTCGATATGTCCAACGCGACAGCTAGAGATTCCCCGTGTTTTTCTAATGAAGCTTGCCATAAATGGGTGACGTAGGCAAGTAGATCTCCAGTAGCTCTTCGGTGGCGGTTACTGTTTCGTTGTTCTTTGTAGAATAATTTTTTTCTGGCTGATGATTGATACCTATTGGGTCCGAAAAATGTCCCCCCTTCTTGAATTCAAAATTAAACGTTGTGGAGACGACGTGGGGAGTTTTTATCATATTTCAACTACTTCACTCACTTACTTGAGAATGATAGTTGTTGATCACTATTTCCAATAATTATTGTCAGTTTAGAACAAAAGACAATGACTTTATGATTGATTTCTCTCATAACATTGTTTCTGTCTTCTCTGACAAGCCCAAATATTAATATATTATTCCATCACAGTTTTCTTTGAGCATTTATAGATAATTATTTTGTAGTAATTTATGATCATCTTCTTTCCTATGCACTATGTACTTCAAATTTTGATGTACCCTCTTTCAACCAACTCTTGGCACTCAATTCCAATTAGGACAGGTGGTCAATGAGAAAGTATGTATTAGATCGCATATTTTCAATATCCCCTAAATTCTGGGTATAGATGGTTAGAGTATGGTTTTTATAGAGATGTATAAAAATTTAACTGGTGCCTGGCTCTCTATCGAAGGTAGTTTGCAAGTTTCTCAATGGCGCCTACTCTGATAAACCTTTGATAAACATACTTGACGTGGGTACATCCTGGTTACAATCCATATTTACAGGAAACATATTACCGACAGATAAATATTTGGATACGTATATGATTTGGATCAGAGCAGTGAACTGATTCCTGATCAAAGGATCGAAACGTCAATATGTCAAAAATATTCTTGAGCTGAAAAAATGGTTATTTCTGAGAATGGGATCGAGTGTTCGTTAGGGACGTGTACCGTAGTTTCTGAATTTTGTGTATAATACCTAATCCACCATAGAAAAAAGAAAATCCCTGTTCTACAACAGTATTATTTCAGTGATTTGAAATATGAGCGTGAACTGGTGTGAATAAATTCTAAGGTGAGTACCAGTTACCATATCTGCCTATTATAATTTTCGATATTGGTCTATTTCAATAGTTGATACATTTTTCGTTCTGGTTCTTCAAAGAGGAAAATCATCAGATTTCATGCTTTAAATAGGTTCATGTCATGAAACAAGTGGAGCTTATTGAAATCGGCTACAAAAATATTTCTTGCTTCTATTTCAAATTAAAATTTGAATGGAAATGTTGAGCATATTATTTATTCGACCACAGAACAATGATGGAAATAGATTCATCCCTCACAGAACCAAGGTTTTGAACGATTGTCCGATTATGGCGCCTCTGTCGCAAATACCTGAACCCCACGTCCAAAACTCGCTTGCAATTGTTCCATATCGAGAGTTAGTCTGACGAAACAATTGAAGAGTGAGCCCACCAGTTAAATTTCTATACATCTCTGTTTATATTAAATGTCTGTCACATTTGGTGATGACTTACTTTTTTTAATAAATTGCAGGATTGCATACTCAAAATCAATAATGGAGTTCGAAAACATTTTATCACAGTGTTGATGGTTTGGTTGTTATAAGTTATAGGTTAGGATTTGTTCGCAGGCAGCAACCATTTATTTTCAGACGCGTGTAGTCTTGTTCAACGGGCTTATATCACAAAAAAAATTTATTTCATATTTCGATAGAACTCACCCAAACTAGGTCACCACCACAAACCGTTTCTTGCTGTGAGCTCCCTACGTTTTATAAAAAAATATTGTAATCCCCGATTTTTCGGACCTCTGAAAACGAGGCGATGATGTGACGTCAAAACCCTAATACTGAAACAAGACTATTCCAGACAGAGATGAATGATACATGATTTCTGACAGAGTGAATTAGCGCGAGATCACAGTTGAAAGAATTAATATATCAGTTGCCTCAGTCACCGTCGGGCGTTTGGTATTTTCTTTTAACTATGGCGAGATGAGGTTTCTACGTCGTAAGAGGGTCCGTTTTCAAAAGATACTATTATTTATGTCCAAAAATAAAACATTCCATTTAATTTTTCGATCGAATTATGTCGTCAATCATTATTTATGTATAAGAGGATCATTATAAACATGGTTTGAGTTAAAAGTTCTACTAAGGTGTACACGCCCATTAACTGTTATCGCCGATGAAAATTAGAAGTTTATTGAAACAGTTAGTTTTGTTAACGAATTTTTTGTCTAAGGCTCTTATACTTCCTTTCAAGATCAAGTGAAATGTTGATTCTACAAAAAAAAACACTGATAATGTCGACTAATATGAAAATGATAATCTGACTATGAATTTGAATATTGGTAATTGGAGCTGTTATATGAAAATACAATAACAGGTATTCGAATCTACACCATCTTGCCATTTGAACAAATCACTTGATCATATGAGAATCATGTATATTCAATTTCTAGTTATATAGAATGTTTTTATCACTTTGGTGCGCACGAAAGGGAAGCCCTATAATGTTCGAAGAACATCGTGCTTACCTTGGGATTACTTCATTTGGCAAAGAATTCCATAGTACTTACACGGTAAAAAATTTTTAGTAGATTTCAACTCCAGGTCCACAAAACTTTGTGTCAATCCAGGTCCACACCGGATTGTGTAAATATTTTACAGGTACCCATTGAAAAATAGTGACAAAAAATGTCTCAGAAGTATGAAAAATGTTGAAGAAATCATGTACAAAATTTTGATTGAAATTCAACAACATTTGAATCATTGATGAAACTGATTGATCATTTATATTTTGACGAAAAGCTTCACTCAATAGGATTTTTTACCGTGTATAGGGAGGATAGGGATAAGAAGTAGGTGTTGGATTTTTTTTTTGTCTTCCAGTAACGAGATAATTTTTTGTCGCTTCTCTGCTTTCAGGCTATTAGAGTTGATTTGCATTAGAGCAGTCAATGTGATGTATCATTTCGACTTCATTTGGAGATTATCTTCTGCTGGTAGATCATGGAATGAACCATTGAAATTATGCAGTGATTTCAATTCACGTGTAAGTTCAAATAAAAAGGTAGATATAAATCATTTTCAATTTATATACACGGTATCTTTCCCTTACACTCTATGGGTAAAAAGGGATATGATTATATATATATATATATATATGTCCCAAAGTCGAACCTCACCAATGGTATCTCGGTAACTATGAGAGATAGACAGTCGATTATATCACGAAAGTTTCAGCAAATTTAATCTTGATTCAGAATCCGTTGAAAAATCTATACTAGGTTTAGTCAATTTTGAGTTATTTAAAAGAAACGGAAATTCTGTATCTTTGTTCTTCCGGAATTCTTGATAATTATTGATTAATAGAAAATATCTTTTGAATGGTTTTGTCAGTTTTTGTTCAAAATGTTGAATTCCCGAGATATGACCTCCAACTCATTTTTTTCTTGTGACGACTGGGAGCAAACGCCCACTTTCAATTTTTTTTTGTTTTCGCTTGGAGCGCACGAAAGGTAATCAGTGAGTAGATGAGAAACTGTATTTTTATTCTTTCTTTCCAATATCATTAATTTTATTCGACTTTGTGATCCATTTTCTGGCTAATATGATTTTTCTTTTCTTAGTAACCAATTATCCTCATTCTCGTATTGTTTTTCTCAAAGACTACATTCGGAATATGAATAATGATTATTGATTTGCAGGTGATAAGGAACAAAATGGAAAAACAGAAAATGATGGATCAATCAGAAAATTTGACTGGTGAGTTCAAAGTATATTTATTACTAAAATTCTCAATTGTTAAATGATACTGTTTTATTTCTTTACTACTAGGAAACACGTCATATACAGAGAGTATTTTTCAACGGGAAGTTGACACTTCTAAACTACGAGATACAAACGAATATATTTAAACAACATCTGTCAGTTTTTGTTCTCGTCAGTCGAGCCACAGTGAGCACATTTAAATGTTTTCAACGTTCTAGCAACGTTTATGTAACGTTGATTGGGTTAAAATTACTTTAATTGTTGATTTTTCTATGTTTCCAATTCAGTTATGACAAGAGCATCAAATGAATACATTTTCGGAATATATTTCCAACGTTATCCTCTAACGATTGATTACCCACTCGATTCCTAATGTTTTTTCAACGTATTGGTGTTCATACTGGCTAACTTGATAGTAATTCATCCCCTTAAACTCCATTTTCTGCTTGGGAATGTCACTTTCGCGATTCTGAATGTTTCACCAATCCAATGCTGATAATTCTTTACTATGATTATAAAATTCATTGAATGGAGCTGTCATAAATGCTACTTTGATTAAGGAAGATAGCCGTGTTTAAACCATATGAATTGGCTGTCCCATTTTCGATGTCTTCATATGGGATATCTAACTCTTTCCCAGAGATCGAATCTCACCATACCGCAAACAAAATTCTCATGACCCACTTTCTTTCTGAGATACAGGGCAAAATTAAAAATTCATCATTTTCAGACCCCTCCTGTATCTCAGTTATCTTTCTACTAATCGGAAGAGTTGAACACTTTTCCACCATGATCGAGTGACGTAGTCCAAATAATTTGTCATTATTCAGATATAACCCGAAGTTATGATATTTCAAAAGGAACACCATGAATTTTCACATATTTGAAACATTGATGATTTGCGCTTTCCGAAAATATATTATATTCATAAGATAAGATGGAAGAGATATTGAGGAAATTGTTTCAAGCCAACTAGAAAAAGGTTATTGGACATTTCCCTCAGGAAGAGTTGGTCCGTAGACACGTTTTTCGAGCATTTGGCCCTCATCAGTACGGTGAAAGAAGTGCAGAAGATAACTCTTCCTGAGGGCTATGTCCAATAATTTGTTCTAGTTTATTCATAACATATTTCAAGTATTAGCCATGAATGTAGATAATTTCCAGTTTTTCAGTAGATTTTTCATCGACGTGCCTCACACACTAGTTTCAATTTTACCAACATTCGATATTTATCAATAATCAGCTCTATCTGTTGACTATGGGAGCTGTGGACTCACTATTACAATTCGATATTCAGTGATTTTGGAGCATTTTATAAAATTTAATATTTAAACATTATTATTCTAGCACCAACACTATTTCTATTCCATATCAACGATTCGTTGAAAGCAACTTCATGTTCAGTACACAGCTTCGCGGATGATAGTACCCTCCATACCGCCTTCTCTTCCAGGGCTCCAATACCTATGAACTTGGCAACAATTCTCGAATTGGGATCCAATAACTTGGTAGATTCCAATGCAAACAAAACAAAAGCATGCTTTTTCTGTAGAAAAGCCTATCTCACTGTGCCCAACATAAGCTTGTCAGGAGTAACCATACCTTTGAGGACATCCATTTTGATGCTTGGTATTACTATCAGCAATAACCTTTCTTGGGAAAATCACGTGAGATCAATTGCTAAAAGTGCATCCTAAAAACTTGGTTTTCTGTTTTGGGGCCTGGAGCTATTTCACTTCCAGTCAGCTGCTTATGATCTATAATGCACAAATCCAACCTGTCCTGGAATACTGTTACCATATTTGGAGTGCAGCACCCACACATACCCTGAAACTGTTGGATTCTGTCCAAAAAAGGGCAATTCGTCTCGTGAGTGATGCCTCCCTCATAAACTCACTCCCTTCTCTGGGACACCGTAGGGAAATTGGCGATCTGGCTCTTTTTTATAGATATTTCCGTGGACGATGCTCCTCTGAATATCAACAATTGTTCCTTCTTTGGCAGTCCCCGCGAGATTAACACGTCGAGTTCGTACCCCTTTGTGGTCACTTCGAGGACCTGCAGAACATCTCTCTCCAAATACTCGTTTATCCAACGAACAGTGAGGCTCTGGAACACATTGCCAAGGGAGGTGTTCCCCGAGGCATATAACCTCCAAGAAAAACACCAATTCCTACCTTATTTTCCTCGGTTCTCACGATGTTCTCTGAACATTACAGGATATCTCTGTTCGTGGGAACAAGAACATTCTGAAGAAGAAAAAGAGTAATTCAATGAGCTATGAAAAAACAGGGTGTTCATTCAATCAAATATAAAGTTGAGACGTGGCTTCAATACCATACCCCGAAAAAAAAGTTGAGTGCGCCACTAGATTCTGTGTATAAAATTCTCCATGGAATGAAATTTCAATTCGACATTTTCGCTAAGAATGTTCTTCATTATAGAGGAACTCTGAAGAGTATAAATTTTCAAAATCGCCCTGTATCTGATAAACGGAAACAGTTATGCAAAATCTAACAAGGCCCTCTTGAGTTTTCAAAAAAAGTGGCATAGGACCGCGAAAATAGCAAGGTTCTATCCTCAACAACAACCAGGATACCCGACTGTCTCACCCCAAATTGGATGTACTGTACAGTGTGTCCAGTTTTCGATGCTTTTGCGTGATATCTCAGTTATCTCTCGAGGTAGTACCTTGCGGTTTTTGCGGTCCTGTGTCACTTTTTTGTGGAACTGAAGATGGCTAAATCAGTTTTTGCATAACTGTTTCCGTTTGTGAGATACAGGGCGATTTTGAAAATTCATACTTATTGGACCCCCCGAGGGACCCCCTCTATATCTACGAAGTTTCTCAGCAAAAATGTCAAATTAAAATCTCATCCCATACAAAACTTCACGCAGAATCCAGTGGCGCACTCATATTTTGTTTTTCGGGGTATGTTTTTGTAGATACGACTCAAACTTATGATTTTTCGAATGGAACACCCTTTATTTTATAAGCTCATGAATTTCCTTATTTTTTTCTCTCCAAAATGATTCGAAATGTTTGTGAATAACTTTTTCAAAAATGCTCTAAAATCATTAAAACATTGAATTTTAATAGTGGGCTATGGATTTTTCTTATAAAAAAGTTCCAATTGAAGGAATATTCATTTTGATTTTTCCGCAAAGAGGACAAAAACTGTACCAACACTAATTTACCAGGAAAACACAAAAATTATGTACCTGATAGCAACAAATAAACAGTAATAACAAGTTCATAATGTAGAATAAGCACCAGATTGAATATTTACAAATACAATTGAATTTCGGAATTATTCAATAACTTATTCACTGAATTGTTCAAATTGATGTCCATTTTCCATAACACACAATTCACACAGTTTCTCAATACGTCTTGATACAGTAAGAGGCACAACCATCTTGAAGAACTGCATGCAACAACAGAGGCAGTTTTCCAGGAATCACAAAGACATCTCTTAATGATTTTGAATGCATTAAGACGTATGGAGAAAGTGTTTGAGGGAAAATGGACATCAATTTGAACAATCCAATGAATAATCTACTGAATAATTTTGAGATTCAATTGTCCTAGTGAATATCAAATCAGGTGCTTATTCTGGAATATGAACTTTTTATTACTATTTATTTGTTGCTATCAGGTACCTAATTTTTGTGTTTTCTCAAGTAACTAGTGTTGGAATTGTTTTTGTCCTTTTCATGGAAAACACAAATGAAATATTCCTTCAATTGGAACTTTTTTCAAATGAAAAATCCATAGCCCACTATCTAAATTCAATGTTTTAGTGATATTGGAACATTTTTGAAAATGTTATACTTATACATCATAATCTATTTTGATGACAAGAAAATAAGGAATTCAATGAGCTTATAAAATACAGGGTGTTCCCTTTGAAAAATCATAAGTTTGAGTCCTATCTCCAAAACCATACCCAGAAAAAAAATCCAGTGCGCCACTGGATTCTGCGCAAAATTCTCTATAGAATAAAGGTATCTCATGAACGCAAACAGTTATGCAAAATCTGATTAGGCCATCTTGAGTTTTACAAAAAAGTGGCACAGGACCGCGATAACCGCAAGGTTCTATCTCGAAAGATAACTGAGATATCACGCAAAAGCATCGACAACTGGACACACTGTACATCAGTTAATTTTTCTATTCATTCATTCCATAGTTGATTCTGGAACAAGATTATCATTCATTGATTTATTGATGAAATCGAAAAGCTTGACAGAAGAAGAGCTGAATGACGAGGTTGGAACGATTTTAGCAGCGGTAAGTTACCTCACGTTACCTCACTAATATTTTTATGTAACGTTATGTTATGAACAGAAATACAGGGTGTCTGTAAAAGGTTGGAACATGGCTCGGCTGTGGACTCCTGGGATGAAAACAAGTTGATTTAGGCCAACTAATACCTATATATATCCAAAATCGTCCCGTTGAGTTGCTCATAAAAAGAGTAGGATGAGAACGATTTTCATAATTTTCGGCATGGCATGTTCTGTGAATGTAAGTCATGTTTTGAGATGTTTTTGATCATCATCAGTGACCTGCAAGTGCTTCAAACAACCATGGACAAAAAACATTACGCGAGAGAATATGGAAATTATATTTTTGGATTATAACTTGAGGAATCCGAAATATACACTTCTGCCACACTACAACACTTCCACTCAGAATACTATATAACAATAACCGTTCATGACATACGACTGACTCGATCTGCTGCTGATGAATAAGTGTTCGCTACAACCAAACCGCATTCTATAATTACGAATCCTATTGATCCCCAATTTGTGTTATGGCGATCCATCCATATAAGAGGTGATTTGAATGTTGCTGATAACAATATGCATTTCAAGTGGGAATCGCCCTAGCAGGCCCTAGCTTCTCAGATGAGGAGGAGGTTTTTTTTCTCTATTTTTATTTTCCTCCAAGAACACAACACTCTCCACTAATGGGCTCTGAAAGATTTCCCCACCCATTGAGTATCCTCAGTGAGATTACCTTTATAAAGGGCTTAGCCCTAGGAAAAAGGCTGTTGTGACGAACACTTCACATATGCACTCTCATTCTTTGGCCAACACCAGCCACCTCTGTCTCACTCGGAGGATTTTATCTATACAATTCTCGAACATGTACAGTCTCTTTTTATTTATGCAATGTGTGTGATTATGTCTGTTGTAAATATTATGCAGATCATAAACGACTTTGATAGTAGCCGTTCGATATCTGGGGCAACGCAGTTTCGAGCGCGGTTGGTACTTGGATGAGTGACCATTCGAGGAAATGCCACATCTGTAGCGAAAAAGCATATCATAGCTACAGCTACCATATCAATGAGCACAAGATATGGTTCGGATATGCCGTCCTTCGGAGAAGACTTAAAAACGGCGGTTACCGAGGCCATAGATGTTGGACTCGTTAAAGAACCCCTACCTCTGGTTGGAACACCAGAGGATTAGGCAAAATTTCCGGTTGGGAGTAGTGTGCTCACCGTCACCGGTGATTAGCCTTAGTAACAAAAAAAGGCGACGTTAAAGAAACAAGAGAGAAGGCATTTCAAGTATTTTACTTCAACCTATAACTTATAATTTGTAATGATAACTGATACGAGTTTCAATAACTGAATAGGTTGTTTTCAGGGATCAGAAACATCTGCCACTACATTAGAATACTTGATGATCACTTTGGGGATGAATCAAGATATACAGGTATACCTTTCCATAATTCGAAATCTCATAATTTTACCAACGCAAACTAAACTGAGGCTAACTGAATCAATTGTCCTATCTATTACGAATTATATGGATTGTGTGTATGGTCCTTTCTTATCGGTTTTCAATAAATTTCGTATTCAAAAAATTCAAAACTCATGCATAAGATATAGTTACAATTTGAATAGAAGGGATCATATAACACCATACATCAGAAATGCCAATCTTCTGAATATGGGTGAACGTAGATTCTTACACATGAGTTGTTTGGTAATTACAGTTCTCAATAGTCAGTGCCCAACATACCTATCTAATTTGCTAATCAGAAGGGGAGACATTCATGAACTCAACATTCGAAATTCAGGAAACCTGTCGATCCCAAGGCATAAAACGCAATTCTTCAAGAACTGTTTTAGTTACCAAGCACCACATATATATAACATGATACCTCACGGAAGTCTCACGAAGGGTTATAAAGACAAACTCAAAAAATTCATACTAGATGGAAATCTGAAAATGTGAATATTCTTGCTAGATTGTTTTAATTTTTTTTTTCTTTCTTTTTTCTGTTGGTCTATTGTTTTGAAATTATTGTATTCTTTGTATCCTGTGTGTTTAACTTATTTATTCATTTTTTTTTATCAACAGGTGCATATGTAAATATGCTATGCATACTATGTACCTTTTTTAACAGATTCGATATATTATGTACCTATATAATGTATTTCTATTTGTTGCAATAAACATATATATTATTATATTATATATTATAATGTTGTATAGTTATCACTATAAAATATTCATGTGAGAGAAGATCTGACACTGAATAGCTACTGTTATATTATTACGATACAATCAATAATAATAATAATAATAATAATAATAATAATAATAATAATAATAATAATAATAAAATAAATGGCCTTTGGCAGAGTTTAGCATAGCTATTCTTCCACTCAACCAAGGTTTGTTTGAAGAGTTGGTATACAATTCAGATATAGTAATTGATAGGTACATAAACAAGATGAAAATAATTCCAAATTTAGTGTACATAAGTAATATGAGTACTATAGTGAATTATTTTATTATATGTATTTCGCTGATGCTCATCCAGAAGTGACTGTTTGAGTTTTTTCTTCAAGGTGGTTGAAGACCAACGTTCCAGATCTTGACTAATTATAATAAGATTACTGGATGACTTTCAGGATAAAGTATATGAAGAAGTGATGGAAATTATGGGTCCAAATCGTCCAGTTGAGCCACAAGACCTCATGAAACTGAAATACACAGAAATGGCATTGAAAGAAACGCTGAGAATATTTCCAACGGTACCATTCGTTATTAGAAGCGTTGAAACAGACTTACGTCTAGGTAAGTAGATATGAGGGTATATACAGAGTGGTTAACGTAGGCCAGCCACATAATAGAAGTTTTCCAACTTGCAGTTTGATCAAAAACGTGGAAATTGGTATGCTGTTATGATTGCTCATTTCCAATCTACCTGATATATTATCAGTCCTCCAGCTATACTTGGTGTGCTGAAAGTCAGCACCACTAGAAATATTTTTGCCAACTTTCTGATTTATGTCTACTTATCTATGACAGTTTTTGGAAAATGTATTTTTTTCTGAAAATAATTATCGCTGTTGTAGTTTACGAAATAGTTGTACCTCACAAATAATTCAGAATTCGAGCACCACTCCGGATGAATTATCGATGTTTCAATTGATGTGTACCAAATTGGCGCGAGCGATTTTCAGATGTGGCATTGGGAGATTGCCAAAAACCCAACTTTTCCAAATATCACCAACTCTTTAACAAACGGTATGGAAAGAAGTTGAATTCGAGGAGTTACTTATATCCAATACTCCAGATTTATTCTTGGGAATCAGATGATTTGCCGCAAAATGTTTAAAGAATTTTCCTATCAGAGAGCTTGAAAGGAGAATTGACTAGCCTGTCAGTGACAATTCGAATTGAGAAAGGTTTGGAGAAGAGAGATGGCGAAATGAAGAAAAAATATCATATCTTCACCTATTTTTTTCAACATGAAAACTTTGTTTTTATCGTGTATGGCAAGATTCGTATTTGTTTTCCATAAGACGATTTATCGAATTGAAAAAAAACAAGGTCCACCACAACAAAATAATAATAATAATAATAATAATACGTCTTTATTATTTTCAATTAACAAAAAAAAACTACAATTTGTATCCATAATGGTTTAAACAAAATAAAAGGCGAAGTTCAGCTCTCATTTAGCAGAACTAAATGAAAGCTGTTCTTTCACTTAACCTGAAAAAATTCCCTGTGAGCGAGCAAACAGAGAGACAGGGAAAAAAATTGAAAAATAATGAAAACAGTATCATGTATAGGTGAAAGGGGAAAGAGAGAGAAAAATAAAGAAATTTATGAAGGTAGTGTATGGTAGTGTGTGGTGGTGTGGTGTGTATGTCCGATCAATACTACTTAATGCTCGATAATTATTGATGGTAATTCAATAAAAATGTATTTAGTTCCATTTTGAATCTGGAGGTTTCAATAATTTGATTTCCTTTGGAATAAAGTTATAGTTTCTACATATGTGAAAGCTGAATGATCTCTTGAAGAATTCGGTATTGAATATGGGCGGCGTCAAAATATTTTTAAATCTTACATTTAAATTATGAATATCAGTACGGTATGTTATTTTTCTGTGTAAGTATGATGGCGTTTTACTTGAAATAATTTCATGATAAAGAACGTTAGCGTGTAGAATTCTCCTGTTCTCCATATTTAGCCAACCAGAACGTTTCAATGCGTGTGATATTCTTTGCCTTCTTCTGATACTATATATCAGCCGAAGACAAGAATTTTGTACTGTCTGAATTTTACGCTTATATATGTCAGTTAAATGGGGACCATACAGAGCGTCAGCATAGTTGAAGTGCGATAGCACCAATGCTTCACAAAGTGATATTTTTAATCTTGAGGATAGATAGTGCCTGTTTCCATATATCAGCTTGATTGAAGCGTAAGCTCGTTGAATAAGCTTTCTTACATGATGCTCAAACCGCAAATTAAAATCCAGAAGCACGCCAAGATTTTTTGCAACATCCACCGTATCAAGCCTAGAGCCCATCACATTGATAACAATGTTGCTATTTACCGTACTTCTCATATGTTTAGGACCGAAGGTAATGACGTTAGATTTATCAGAGTTGACAATAAGACAATGATCAGTTGCAGCTTTAATAAATGAATTCAATTCATTGTTGATTACCTGACTAGCATTCTCATACATAAGTGACGGAAAACTATAATATATCTGTGTGTCGTCAGCATACAGGTGTATATTGCATTGATTGAGACTGTTTATGAGATTGAATGTGTAGATACTGAACAGTAAAGGCCCCAAAATAGATCCCTGAGGAACACCTGATTTGAGATACATATTTTCTGAATTAGTACCATCGATACAAACTTTTTGTCTTCTATTTCTCAAGTAGTTCTCTAGTAGTGTAACAGAGTTTTCAGAGAATCCTATGTAATGGAGAATGTGAAGGAGTAATCCATGATTAATCGTATCGAAAGCTCTACTGAAATCCAATAGTACCAATACTGTACTGTCGCTCTAATAATGTCATCCACAACGTTCAGCAGGGCGGTTGTGCAACTGAATCCTTTCCTAAATCCCGACTGTACTGGCGGTAGCAAGTTCTGTTCAGACAAAAACTCTGAAATCTGTTTTTCAATGGCCCGTTCCGCGATTTTTGAGATTGTAGGTAATATACTAATACCACGAAGGTCTTTATATTCTACAGGATTTGATTTTTTTGGAAGAACTCGAACAACTGCCTCTTTCCAAGATGATGGAAAAACATTTTCCAGCAAACAGAAATTTACAATATGCGTAATGTAGGGCACAATATGTGGGCAACATAACTTGATCAATTTCATGTTCAGTCCATCCATACCAGTTGCATTACTCTTGATTTTACAGAAACATTCATAAACAAATAAATCATTTATTTCTGTGAAATTGAATTGGGAGTTGATAAGGAGATTATTTTTGTAGAAACTCACGAGATTTTCTGGAGGAGACATTGCAGGGATAGAGTTTATCAAAAAATTATTTATTTCATTCACTTTTTTCAACTCTTCTGGGATACCACTCCCTTTATTATGTAACAGTTTTGTGTCTTTCAAAATTTTCCATGTTTCATGCGACCTGCAATTATTTAGTTCATAACTAAAATATGCTTTTTTTTCGCGGACGATAGCTTTTGTTGTATTGTTTTTCATATCTTTGTAAAATCAATCATCAATAACGACAAATATAATACCATACATTCCCGGCATATCTGAAAAAATAAAACCTGTTATTGGTGATAAATTTCAAGTTAAAAGTGTGTTCAAAACTGAAAATTCAATCAGATCAATTCTAACTCAAACAAAACCAAAAAATTAACAACAATCGTCGAAAAGTTGTATTTACAGTATACCTTTTGTTTGTGGAAACTTTTATACAGGTGAAACCAAGAGACCTCTTTCAGTAAGGACGAAGGGACATAAATACAATATAAAGAAAAGACACATCGACAAATCGAAACTTGCTGAACATATTCTCACTGGAGATGGACAACATATGGCAGAGTGGAATAATATTAAAATCATTCTTCTGAACGGACACAATAGCATTGCTTTCTGTTCAGTTGATATAGATAGAACATGGTATTCATCACTGAAATCTGAAAATGAAAATGGCAAATTCGAGATTGATAAATAGAAACATCATGTAACTCATTCGATTACCAACCTCACCAATTGTCACTGAGAACTGAGAAGTTTCAAGACAAATACGAATTTTTCATACAAAAAAACATTCTTTATGTTAAAAATGAGTGCAGATTCGTTCCCGAAACTTCCAAAGATAAGTGAAAGTTTGATACTTATTCTATATAACTTCTTCTCTTCTCCAAACATTTTTCAATACAAATTGTCACTGACAAGCTAGTGAATTTTTCTTTCAGGCTCTCTGATAGAAAAATTCCATGAACGCAGTAATATTTCTCTGCAAATCATCTGATTTGTCCCTACTACAGGTATATTGGAAAATTATTCATATTCTCAATTTATAGAGACGAGGAGAGAAATTCCCAAAAAAATCTGGACTAATGAATGTACCACCTCCTCGATTAATCTACAGAAAGTGTTTTACTCATATCTTACTCAAACTTCCATAGAGATATTTTATAGAAATTGGGTGCTTGAGTAACCCATCCTTACATATATGCCATTTGATATTGTCATTTAAAGTTCGACCGCGTCCAAATGGTACAAAGTGAGACCATCCATAGGACGTCAGGGATTTGCCAGGACTCTCAGCTCACTGATCCACAAATGTGGTGCTCTAGTTTTAAACGTTTTGTGAAATAAAAATCTTTTCGGAAACTACTACGGCCAGTTACTATTCACATATCTCGAGAACTGTGATGAAAATGTCGATATTGATCAGGTTGTATAAACTCAAGATTAAAAGGCCAATCGAACAGTGAGAAAGAAAATTTGGTTTCTATTGACAATGAATGAGTTTTTGCTGACTTTTGGCACACCCTGTATAGCTGAAGTACCAAATATTTCAGTTCAATTGAATTGAAAATGATCGATTATAGCATACCAATTTTCAAGTTTTCATTCCAACTGCATCAAGTTGTGAAACTTCACTTCACTTCACCTGGTATAAGATGATCAATTATTATAAATAAACGAAAAATGAAAAGAACGAATACAACCTCTAGCTTTGGTTAAGAAGATGTAATGGATCACATAACTCCTATTGAGCCTACTACGAGACATATTCCATTTTTTCCCAGATCACAAACATACAATTCCTGAAGGTGCATCTGTGCTGATTTTATTCCTGGCAATCCACCGAGACCCTAAATACTGGCCAGATCCCTTCAAATTCGATCCTGACCGTTTTCTTCCAGAGAACAAAACGAGTAGGCATGCTTTCAGCTATCTGCCTTTTATGGGTGGACCCAGAAATTGCATCGGTAAGTTTTTATCTTAGTGACAGTTTCTAATATTTTTAAATATCACGCAAGTATCATCGTCCAAGTTGGTGAGGAATTTCTACTTGGAAATAGTTCAAGGGGTTCTTTCTTCTTGTGGAGGAGCATATAATATATCCCTGATGGATATAGCAGGCTGAGGGGTTGTTGATGATACACCCGTCTTCAAACCTCTTTAGACGATCTAGGGCAGAAAAACGACAACATTGTGAAGAATCAAGAATAATCTCATCCTTAACCAAGGCGGAAGTTGAGGCATCTTATGATACTTGAATGACACATATCGAAATAGATTGTAGTTGAATATTGTACTATTTCAACTCGAACTTAGACTTCCACTGGCTACAAGTAGAACCAGAACGCAATGGAATGGAGATCTATCAGAGATACCTCGTTACAGCTGACAATATTGTGTTATGCTGCTTATCAGATTCACAGAAAAGGTTCTCTAGGAACTGAAAATGACAAATATTTTCATGATAAATGGAATGTTATGATTTTCATACGATGAATAGTCAATGTTTCAGATTTCCAAAAAGGCCAGACTGCTGAGATGCAGTGACTTGACTTCTATAGAAAAGAAGGATGTACAAAATGAAATAGATTTGCATGATAAATTGAAATTTAGCTCAACCCAAACCATATTATGTTTGGAGTGATGAACTGTCATCAGAAGGAGGTTGTATGATGATATGTTGTGAGGTGGTGATACCATCAGAATGATAACTGATTGTCGAATATGCCAATTGAATCAGAAAAGTACTGAAAAATATCTGATATCTTGACCCAGAACTGATAATGTATTTCGAAGGGTTCTGGAGACTTCTTCTTCCGAAGTGTCATAGCATATTCACTGATTGTTGCAAGTGAATTTTAGTGAATAGATATTGATTTTTTGTCAACAGGTTTGATTCCATCGCAAACATTAGGGGAATTATAAAATTCACATTTTCCATGATATGATTACTAGAAGTAATTCCTAGTGACGGTTTTCTATTCAATTCCACGAAATTCACAAGATTTTGTCAAGCAAATGAAATCGATGTTGAAAATTTCTCCATTATCATCAACGATCAAATAGAACTGCATAACTGCAGGCTCGTGCAAACTGTATAGAATCTTCTTTAAATAGGTTTTTATTGCAAGAATACTCATTCATCTATAGAAATACAACATCACCAATACGGGTTCGATGAAATTATACGAATAAATGCCGAGAACCAGATTTATGAACACCGGAAAAAATTTCTCTATTGTGATCAAAACTACATTCCATATTACATAACCTTTTATGTGTTGTCAGTTGAAGAAGAAGTTTTTGTCGGAAAATCAGACCATATGTAAATAAGTAATGGAAAGAAGAAGTGAGTAAAAGTAATCAATGCTGTCACATAATCAGTAAATGGGGACAACAAAATTATGTATAAGCATCGAAGGAAGTCTTTAAGGGACATTTGGATTATATAACGATCCTGGAAATATCAATGGCATCTGTGCAGAGATATTTGAAGGAATGTACCATCATATAAGATCTAAAGTCATGCCAGAATATGTCCTACTCGGTACATCCGATGAAATCATATCCCAACAGGGACATGCCAAGGACGTCCTTGCATGGATATTCTACAATGTACATGCCAAGGACGCCCTTGCATGGATATTCTACAATACGTACCACGTGGGACGTCTAAGGAATGCTATTTCTAGGACATTTGACATGATATACCTGCAGGGATATTCCGTAGACGTCCTTGTTCGGACATTGCATGATATGTACGGAATTGGACGTCCCAAGGATACTTATTTTTGGTCCGGGACATTCGGACTTGAATTGTACCAAATTGGGATGTCCCTAAGACCGTGTGTGCTATCAGGGATGTATACTGTTTGATAAATAAGAAACGGGTCTATTCTGAATAAAATGAAATAAAGTCGGACACACTCGTTGATAAGACAGTAACTTGAGATATTGAATTTTCAATGAATTGACTGACTGAAATCAAATAAGAACAGGATTCGGCATGCAATGACGTGCTATGTGTTTCCTTAAACAATCAACTGCGTTCTTCTCCTTCTCATAAATCAATTCTATTCATAACCTCGGTGAAGGAAAGTTCTTGTTGTGACAGTTCCGATGGATCTGTCTGGTGGTTCTGATGTTCTTTTCTGGTGGTTATTCCTGAAGTTTCATCGGAACCGAACAAGAGATGACAGAACAAACAAACAAAAAAAAATGGTGCGATGCCCAATTAGCCACACTCAACTACACAATACCAAATATAGAAGTTGTGTTGCGAATTATTTTTGTTTCCCACGGCATTGATGGAAACTGATTAACAATTATGTCCTATTATGTTTCCGTGTGGCGGCGCTATTGAAATTGGGGGTTATCTATGATCTGCATGATATGATGAATATATCGATATATTCCATGGGGAAACCAGATGCATTATAGCCATAATCCAAAATCATGCAATGTCCGAGCAAGGACGTCCACGGAATGTCCCTGATGGGATATGATTTTGAAAAATTCCTTTAGGGACATCCATCGGATGTCCCGAGTAGTACATATTCTGTCATGACTTCAGATCTTATATAATGTCGTTTCTAGAAAACCCTGAAATGTCCCTGATGGTACCTTCCTTCAAATATCTCTGCACAGACGCCCTCAATATTTCCAGGATCGTATTACAATCGAAATGTCCCTTAGGGACATCCTTCGAATATCCGTCGGATGTCCCAATTAGTACATGAACTGTACTCTTCCAATGTCCTAGAAATAACTCCCTATGGACGTCCCAGTCGGTACTTCCAATATGTTGTCCCTGCGAGGACGTTAACTCACACCTCGCCGACGAATGATTGCTCGTTGGCTATGAGAACGTCTCGTCAATGTTCTTCACGTTAGTCCATTGGACATCCTTGGGAAACTTTTTGAGGACCTTCTACGGACTATCAACTCAACTGGATGTTCTAATCAGTTATGCAAGATCTGGTCCTAGAGGGACCTAGAAAAATACAAATTCGTACGTCCCTGGGACATCCAATGGACATCCAATTAATATCCCTCAGCGTTGCTGATAGGTTGTCCTAAGGATGTCCTCTGTAGTGCTCGATGAGGAATACTGTACGATTTAGGTATTCGATAGTTGTCCCAGGGACATCCCTCAACGACGTCCCTAGTTGGTCCTCAAGTGGGACATTAGTGTGTCCCACAGACGTCCAATGGACGTCCACGGTACCAAATTCGAACGTCCTATGGACGTCCTGAATGTCCCGACTGGACGTCCCAAGGATGGGACATAAGTGTGTTATTAGGAAAATTACCGGTCTAATGATAAATGTCATTTTCACCGGTGTGGTTACCTGAGTAGATATATCTGGTACCCAGGTAGGGCGTAGAGACCCCTATGAAGAGAGTAGTTTTGGGAAGGCTTCCGTCACCCAATCTCTTCCTCCTTTTCTAGAATCCAACTCTTCTTTCACCGAATCAGCCTTCGCCGCACCACCACCTTCGTCAATATTACCATCACTACCATCCTCTGGTGGCTGTCTTTATATACATACCCTCTGCAACTCACCTGCTAACATTGAATTGGTTATTTGTACACCAAGATTATTAAGCATAACATCATTACCCAAGGACCAAAGTCATATCCCGAGGCCTCACCCACTCTTTGACATAATTGGAACACCGTAGAAAGGTCGGCGACATTTCACTTTTCTATCGATACTTCCACGGAAAATGTTCTTCGGAAATCTCTGCAATCATCCCTTCACTAGCAATACCAATCAGACGAACTAGACAAGCCCAGTCAGCACATCCTTTCGTCGTCAACCTCGAAAGATGTCGAACAGCACTTCATCAAGACTCCTTCATCCATAGAACGGCTAGGCTCTGGAATTCATTGCCTGTGGAAGTATTCCCAACAACATTTATAATCTCCTAAAATTCAAAAAAAATTCCAATACCTACATCCTGTCCCTATCCTCCCTAGGAACGCACGATGTTCTTTGAACATTATAGGGATTTCCTTTCGTGCGCTCCAATCGATGAAAAAAAAAGTATAAGTTCCCGTTGGTGATAACTTGTTTTTTCACCATTAGCTTCTAGAATCTACCAGCATTCACCCCGTTTCAAAGTGTGAAGTGTGTGTTTTACTAAGAAGGTAGTTTTTGTCTTTTCATGAACCACAAATCAATGGAGACAAAGCGATAATTATTGCTTTGCAGGAATGACACTCCAATCAAGTTAGCATTTATCAATGACTTCTAGTCATATGGTCATTGCTACTAGATTTCAATCAAAATTGAAATGAAGTGCTCTCATAGTGACATAGGTCAATATTACAGTTTCACAGAAATATAAAGATTGGAATATATCAGGTGTAGTGAAACAAATTCAATATTGACCATGGTACTATGAAGAATATTATTTCCACGGAACCTTTTGCCCCTCTCTCTTCAGCCCCAGAACATAATTTTGATTCCTGGGTAACAATGACATTCTTCACTACCATGCTGTACGAAAAAATATCACTACCATTAAGGTGTATATTATTGTTTTGTGAAACTGAAAAATGAACAGTTAGTCACTATGAAAGCATTTCTTCTCAATTCTAATTGAAATCTAGAAAGCATGACCTTGTCAGCATATTATTATAAAAAGTAGTTATTGATAAATACCTACCTACCAGAATCGTGGGCCTTATTTCAAGTGCACTATAAACGAATGTTACTTCCGAAAATGAAACAAAAGTGTAGGTAATAATTTCACTATTACATTGCAGGGGGCCGATATGCTATGATGAGTGTGATGACCATGTTTGTACATATAATAAGGAAATACAGATTCTTTACGGAATACAAATCTTTGGAAGAAATAAAAGTGGTTCCGTTGATAACACTCAAACTGAGAGATGGATCGAAATTATGGATGGAAAGAAGATATTGAGTGTGTGATGATGATGTACAATAAACTT